ATCCAATTGCTTGCTGCATTCCTATTCCATTATGGTTAAATAAAACATAGAACTAAAAGTTTAAAAAACGAGCACCAGTGTGCTTGATTCACGAAATTTAAAGGGGAACTCCGGGAGAAAAATGACCTTTTTCTTAATGATTTGCCTACATTTGTTGTTTCAATTTTTGACTACTAAGTTAAGTGATTGTTCGTTAGAACGAAGATATTTCACCCTAAAGCGGAGTCAAAAATGCAAATAGCATTCCGCCATCTTGAAAATTGTTTGTCTGCTCAGAAATGGGTCAGCGTTTTCATTTATGACGTCAGAACGTCAAGCGTAATCCAATATTTACTCGGCTTCCAGTTGTGTACAACATTTTGCATCGTCTGCTTTGGGAGTTTTTCTTACCTTTATCACTCTTATAATGTCGAATTCTGGGTCAGAATCCGAGTTGTCCGACGAAGAACAAGGAGCTCAAACGTTTTCTATCCAGCCGTATCAGTTTGAACCGCGGGTAAACACGGATGAGAGGGATATCAACGCTGAAAGTCTTTCTGGCGACGAGTCCATGGAAGGCAGCGAAGAATTGAATCCAAGACTGGAAAATTCCGACTGGTATGTGCTGTGCTGTTTGCTTCATTGTAATTCTTTTACCGATGTGCGAAATAAACTGTTGTTTGGCCCAGATGTCGTGTTCGTAATTGTTTTTCTTGTTTTGTTTCGTTTTGAGAGTCTTGAGTACGTGAAGATTTCATTATCGAGCGGCCGACAAATTGTTTAGTGTTCCTAGTTTTCAATATGTCTTGCGAATTAGGTGCTGTGAACGTGAAAGCTGTTAAAAACCTAGCATAAATTCCCTCCTCCCCCCGCAGCTGGACTTTTCAAGTAGAAGGGAAGGATTTTGAACAATTTTCTTGGCGCTTCGCTTTCTTTTATATAAGCTAACACTAGCACGGGTGCAAACAAAAAGAATTGTTGATCTTCACTACACATAGGTTCTTTAAGTCAACAGGCGGCCGTTGGTCCCGCCTAACCTATTTCAAGAGAGAATTTTATTTACATGTTTAACTATTTAAATTTGCCAGTGTCCTCACTTTCTTTACTAGCTTGTATAAACAGTTTTCTTCAACTCAAACAAAATTAAATCTGCTTCAACATATTTTATCTACATATCACAAAAAAAGTTAGTAACATCTAAATCTTACGAAACCTTACATTGTTGTCTTAAATCAGCTCTCAATTGCTGGTGTTTATCCAGCTTCTTAACCTGTAGCTCATGTTAAATGTAGAACAATTCAGTTTTTGTTTCCCATCTATGATTTAGGTGCTCATGTGATAATTGCCAGATTATGGGGAGAGCGGAGGCATGCATATGCTGCCAAGAAATAGAGCAGGTTAAAAATAAGCTTAGTGAAGCAGTTACTAGTGGTGAATGTGAGGAAGAGCCAACATGCATCACGCAGCATCCAGGGTTCCATCCAGTGTGTATAAATAGATGGGTCCTGCAGACTGCATGGTATCAATATAAACAACAATACAAAGAATCTTTTGATGGTCCTGAAGACAAACTCTACAGGCACATAGCATACAGACAATTGGCCCGATGGTGCTGGGGAATCCTAGGCAAGGAAATCAGGGTTGTGCTTCCTTCATGTGCTGTAATGTGTATTAGGAACTTCTATCCTCCACCTGGGCCTGAGGAGGAGTTTGTCTTTACAGGGTTTAAATATGCAGACGAGTGACATGACTTTTAAGTTTTAAAAAACTGACATCAGGCTGCCAGTGTAAATGAGAAACTGTAGGCCACTTATGATGCATAATATACAGCTATAAAGAGGATATTACAAATAATTTGCTTACATTTCGTAAGCGGAATTTTTAAGCCTTTAGGTTTTTGTATTCTCATTTGACACTATGATATGTTGAAAAGTCCTATACACATGCATCCATGTACATCCATGTCTACACAGGTTATGAAAATGCAAATCTCCTTGTGAAAATCAAAAACATGGTGTGAATTAGGAAAACAAACCATGCTAGCTAAAAAGGTCTATTCCTCATTGTTTGCAGCCAAAAAACCTCACAAGTGGTGAACTGTTCTTGTCATGTGGGTTTCAGTTTTTTACACGTAATTGGAATAAAAAGACATGGTGATTTGAGTTTCTTATTGTCAAGTTTGGAAAAAATTTCAGTGTTACTCTGATTGACTGTTACAAATAGGAAACCTCCAGGAAATGTGTCAAAGGCTCACTATTGTTAAGTCATCTATTAAATCTTGAACGATGTTGGCGTATTGCATCTGATTTACTAGGTGCTGGTTCTGAGGCAATGTTACTTGGTAGGTGTGGATGAAGTAGCTGTGCAGCTGCATTCCCCTGCTCAACACGACTGAGCACCTCTGAAAGTAGGTCTGACAAGAACTGATATGACTTCTTCTCATTAATTGGTTTGACAACCCATCTTTTATTTGCTTTTGGGAAGCAAAGCTTGTATCGTGCCTCACCTGCCCGTTCACCTGACTTTATCACAGCTTGACTAAGGCCAGTGTTAGCATTGTTGTCTAGAGCGGCTAGCTGGGTCCTAGCTACCATGCCCTGGTAAGAATAATGCTCACGTTTGGAGGCATACTTCAGCCTCATTGAATCGTACACCTCAATTTTACCAGTGTGACAGAAGTCAGTTAGTTTAGCCAGATCTTTAAGAAGCTTTTTATTCAGTACCACTTCCTCTAAAGCTATGTGAGCTTGTGAGCCTGGCTTAAGCCAACAAATTTGCTTAGCTTCAGAGGAAGAGATACGTCGGTGGCAACACTGATGGAAGAGTGTGTTGCCTGACCACTTGTGCTTGTTTCCTACATGATCTAAAACAGACTTCCACTTTTCACGCAGAAGCTGCACATTCCCATCGCAGGTTGCCGCGCACCACCAAAGTTGATTGGAAATGGATTGTATCCATGGGGCCAGTTCCTCACAACCCTTTTGTTTGGCTTTGTTTGTAAGTTTTTTGACCACTCACTTGGAGGGATGCCAAACATCATACTGGTGGTTGATGTGTGGAAAGTCCTTCTTCATGCTGCTGCTGATGGAAACATGGCGGTCTGTAGCAATCCTGTTAATCATGATCCCCTTTTCCTCCAAGTCTTGAAGGCAGCGAGAAAAGCCCTCTTTCTCCATGGCATTTGATGAGCTAACTTCTGAGACCTGGACAACATTGAATGCAACCACATCTCCAGAGTCCTCATCCATTAAAGTGTAGGTGCCATATTTGGCACTGTGGCCAGGGCTGTCACACCTGCCATCACCATCGAGATTTACAACTTCCTTGGAAGTCAGTCTGTCTACCTGCCGTTGACTCTCTGCTTCCCATGCCTCATTCACCACAGGGAACAGGTATTTACGCTGGGTGTCATAAAAGACACTTTCACCGAAAAATTGCAGGTTAAAACATGATGCCAGACGACTTATGGCAGCAAAGTTATTACCTGTAAAAAGAATGGATGCTGCCAGTAATAAATTTCCTAGAGGTTTCCTTTTTACCACAGATTGTGACTCCCATGTCATTTTACACCCACTCTGGCACACAAGCTCTACAGATAACATGCTTCCAACAGTTTTCCTCTTCTGTTCAATGACAACATCACCGCATTCCTGGCATCTTTTAAATAAATTATTTAGATTTGAATTAAAGACTACAAATTTTTTTTTCATTGCCGGGATTTTCAGGGAACTCATCTTCTGATTCTTCATCATCATCATCATCATCTTCATCAGCATCGCCATAGTGTTTTCCTTTAGGGGGAAATTTCCAGTGAGGATCTAGGTCCTCATCATCAACTTCATCATCTGTGTCACTGACATGACCATCAACATTGTCATCATCATTTTCCAGCCTTGGGTCTCCTTTGTGCAATTGAGTGAAAGGGGTGGTGCTAAAAAAGTTACCATCATAGGTAGGAAACACTGAACTGGGACATGCTGGCAAAGAATAAGTGTGATCCTTCAAAACCTTCCATTGTACAGCATCTACATATGGTGGGACATACATGTAGGGCTCGTTTTGTATAGGGGTGGGGGTAACATTAGCTTTGCCCTTTTTTTGTTTGGAATCCTCAGTTTGAACTGCTACACTTCTTAAGGTAAGAGGCTGACAGCAACACTGAATGCCAATGTCATGCACTCTTGGTTCTGAGGAGCCTGTTTCTTCATTATTATCAATCTGGTCTTGATCTGAAGAGTCTTCCAAGACATCCTCTGAAGAAGAGCTTGACTCATCATCACAGTCTGGGAAGTCAGCAGCTAAAAGTTCTTCCACAGCCTGATGGGATAAAGTTCAATACTTAACAGTATTTTCTATAAATATTTGTGGAATGTTCAATTGTCTGTTTTTATCGTAATGTCGAAATAACGAAAAGTGAAATTACAGACTTGACATACAAAACTGAGGGCAAGGGTGTATTGAAGGATCTAACTTGAGGTAAGCACTAGGGAAAAGGAGAGAAAAAAACAGTTCTTATTAACATCTGTAACAGGCGGCGATTTTTAGTACACGTTGTATCTGCTATGTGGCACAGTCGACTGGATAAAAGTGTCTTGATGTGAGGTGACATTCAATTTCCCATAAGGTCATACAAGTTTTGAATTTTTTTACAAGCTTAGCTTTAGCAGCTTGATAGGATTGGAGTCCTAAAAATTTAAACCTATTTCACTCAGGTTTAGGTGTACAAACTCTCTTTTACTTGCAAATGCCGTTGAATTAATTCTGCCTTATAGTGTTTTAAACCGAACTTGTCAGTTTCTCACTGAGTTCTAGATATGCTAGAGGCAAAACAGGAGCGTGAACTCTCAGAGGTCATCTAATTCGAACTGGACTGCAATCTCGTAGCGTCCGCCAAGCAGGCAAATCGAACAAGACAAGATTTTAGCAAAATAAAACAGGATGATAAAAATTTGCATGAGTGACAGTAGTAACCTGTTTATGGTTTTGTTTCTGAAGGCGACTTTCAGATGACAATTGCGCTTTTTTGGGTTCCGGACCATATTTAAACAGAGACGGTATAGCGTCATCCCTTAAATGTTTTCGAACCTTTTCGCCCATAAGTTGTGCACGGAAATCGATCTCAAAACAGCTGGGCAAGAAGTGTTCGCTGCAAACATGGCTGTTTTCCAGGGGTGGCATATCTACACGCCTTACTCGGTCGAGCCATGCCTTCCTTCTGTGGTCTTGCGGGAACTTGTGGTAACTCACGGCTTCTCCCGTCTTTTCTGAGTAATTGTGGCAGTCAGGCACAACGCAGCTGACCATTTTCTCCTTTGCTTAATACAAACGGTCAAAAAAGGTTGAATTGGAAGCCACGGACACAATGCAAAGGGACGAAATAGAAAGACGTTCTGCCCTCGTAGTTCTAATATACGAATCTCCCGCGAACCCTCCGCCAACCAACTGCGAACCATTGACGTTCTTACGTCACAACGCACTGCTGACCATTGTAACGCGGCTCGTATTCTTCCCAAGACGGCGGAATACTAGGACGGCTTTTCGGCCAGCTTTTAAGTAAAAGATTTACTTAGCGGTAGGAGTACGGTAAGAAAGTTTATTAAAAACTGAAAGTTTAGATATAGGACTACTATTCTAAATAAGTTCGTTTTTATCCCGGAGTTCCCCTTTAATTACTTTGAAAAACGTTGATTCGTCAAAATCGCGAAATTATTCTATTCCAAATTCGCGAATATAAAGTCATAAGAAAATAAGTGATAATAAACTCTCTTGAACGAGAGTTTTCTACATGGTCTGAATGAAGTTTTCCCAAAACTTTGTCAAGATCACAGTTACACAGAGCCTTCCTACCAAGAAATCGATAAAGAAAAGCATCTATCCCCGCGACTTAATGAAACCAAAGTTATGCTGGCCTTTTCTAAGATCAAAAAGATAGCATCAGCACCGCACAGTATACCCCACTCGGTTTGGAGAGATAATGCTCTACTCTTAGCACCTATACATGGCCTCAGGCATGGAAAGAGTCTGACATATTGTGCTAGTGATGTAATTTTGCAATACCTTAGCTGGTCCAGTACCAACCATATGCCTTGCAATCTATCCCAGTTTAAAGAATTATTTTGAAGAAGAAAGGACAAGCAAATCCTAGTCCTATTGGTAATATAGAGTAGGCCGAATTCCTAGTACTACTCGGAATGACTTTTCAGGGATATGGCAGATTTACAGAACACATAAATCAAAAACTCTTTAAAGCAGATAATGCCTCTATGTGTTAAGGAGCTTAAGGAAGGAAGGATATAACCAAGTAGAAATTGATCACTTATTTCAGTCTTTAGTTTTACCTAAAATTTCGTATCGTTTACTGGTGTATGCAGCCTCCGTGCCTGAACTTAATACTGTGCAGCAGTTCCTTTGCAGATGTCATAAACGCCGTTATATATCCTATGCTATAGATAAAAATGATTTGAAAAAACAGACAAGTGAATCTCCAAGAAGATTAGTTGTCTACCTACTCATCCCCAATATAATTTGTTGCCCAGAAGTAAAGAATCGTCAAAATGTGAGAACTCAATCAAGCCTTCTTCCCTGCGTTAACACGGAGCATTTTAAAGCTAGTTTTATTAATAGACTGTATTTTAAATATACTTTTACTATTTAACTAACGATATTAAACATGTAAAATACAGGTAGGTATTTTTACTTGCGTATTCCATAAAGACATCTATTTTTTATTATTTACAATAAGGTATACACAGACTTTGAACAAATCTAAAATTTCGACTGAAAATCATAGACTAACCCCTATGAAAAAAATCCAAGTAGGCCGCCATCAAAAAATGTCCTTAAATGGCCTAGATAATACTGAAAGATAACAAACATCAGTTTTCAGGTGCATATAGACGACACACAAAATATCAGAAATTATAAGGAAATGTATCGGAAAATCACATATAGGCAATAGCTTTCAACAGTGACACAGGGAGGTGCCCATATGACCTCAACTTGAAGGTCTGACATACAACAACCAACTGACAAAATATGAGACAATTCACCCATAACCGATAAAATTTAAAGAGAAATATTCCCAAGATGGAATAATTGTAAAAGAGTAGAAAATCCTCAAAAGGGAATATCCACATACTCAGGAAGGCATATCCTCAAGAAGAGTGGGCATATCTGCAACATAAAAGTCCTAAATGTAATAACAATTTGCCCGAAATGCAATGAACTCTTTATTAAGCAGTCAATAGGCCATTTGGACGACGAGGTCATTTTACCACTAAGACCAGAATCCTTCAGGATTTTGCTTTCTTGTGCAAATTACGGCTTTTGTCTGTGAAACCTCACTGGGAATACCAAATTAGAATATGAAAGGAAAAACGAAGAGGATTCTGGTAGTGGCTTTTTTTTGTTAGCGAGTCTACAGTTGTTGTATTTCATTAAGCAAGTCAACAGGACCAGCTGTTGCTCAACACCTGATTGCCCAGGTACGATTTCCATTCTCAAGTTGCTTTCACTTTCACCAGAAAGTTGAGATCAACTTTGAGTTTCGCTTTTGATGTTCAGTGCCACCATTTACCTTTGCTCAATATGATCTTTGCGAATTTGCTAATTTGACAACTTTTGAGTGTGATGTGCTCATTTTTCATAAGACCTTTTGGAGCCAATTATTCCAATTATATAGATATACTGTCTTGGGTCTGTACGGTGGTGGACGGCCGAATTTTGAGCAAGTTCCCAAAGCAATCCTAAAAGTCTGGTGTACTTTCCAGTAGCTCAGTGGTAGAACCATCCAAACTAGAACTGGGAGGGTGGCGAGTTTTATTCTCATCTGGGGCTCGAATATTTTTTCAGAATTAGCAAATGTGTGTGCGTACCCTCAAGCCATTCCTTTTATTCAAATGAGTATTATCACATTGATTTGATAAAGCACAAGAGCATTCTCAGTCTTTACGTGTATCCATTACTGTTCAGTGTGCAAAGATACTTTGGCAGTAGCATATTCTTTACTTTTATTCCAAGGTGTCTTGTGGTCTTCAAAGTCGAACCTACAGGCGTGGGAAGCAGCCTGAATGTTACGTTTATGTGCAGTGGGTGTGAAAAAAGGTCGTAGATCTTGTAAACATCTGCTTTTGTTGAACGAACAGTTATTGTTGGACTTCCTTAGGCGGTAGCTTTTTCCTGGTCTGGCCATGGGTTTGCTAACTTCGATAGAACTTTAAGACAGTATTTGGGGGATTTCATGCATATCAAAGAACAGATACTACGATGTTATTAAACTGGCATACCCACACATACAGTACATTCTTGATGAGAAATGCTTAGAAGAAACAAAAGAATGCAAGATTTATCACTGGATGAACTGGGTAGCTGGCCACGAGCTGTCCTTACTTCTGGTGGAGTGTGGCAAACGCGTGGAAGTTTCAGTAAAAAATGGTTCTTTTATAGTGTTAACAATCATTTAACTGGCGGATTACTCTGGTGCGGACACAAGTGCATGCGGGGGAAGGACGACGTTATTGAGGAGGACTTGTATTAGGGCACAGCAAAGTCAATGGAGGGTGTTCTAGAAGAAGAAGGATATGAGCAGGCAAAGAATGAGGGGTCTAAGGTTGAGGTTGTGTGGCAGGATGGGGAATCAAGTACAGCCAAGTCCATCACTCTGCATCACCCTGCTGGCAAGGTTTATAAATGTGGAGAACATGTGGGTAGAGCTCAAAGCAATCACTTGAAAGAGGCTGCTAGGTTTTCAGAAGATTTGAAAATCAAGTACAAAGCGAAATTTCCGAAACTGAAACTGTGAAGTGCAAACGCAAACGACACAGGGCTGGTTGTGGCTGCATACGAGATTCAATGATCAAAGTTTCCTGTATAAAACATTTTTGTTGTCAGCAACAGTGCATTGATCCTGATGATTATGCAAAGTATTAGGGTGCTTTTGAAGTACTATGAGCGTGACATCCATACCTGGGACAAAGATGGTTCTTGTAACTTTCATCCAGTGAGAACTTGCAGTTGCAAGAAATGTGAAAGAAGATGAAATTAAATGCACTGGGGAACCATACAAGACAAAAATACCACTCAAGAGTACTTTCCATTGGCTTGCGTACAGAATTGAGTGCAAAAGAAGAGCACAAGAGGCTGACAGTGTCATACAGCCCCAAATGGGTCGAGGCCATTCAAACCTCTGCGAGGCAAATATCAAAGTTCTTCTTAAAACATATAAGGACAAATTAAATCACTCCTTACGAATTGCGAAACGCTTATATTAGGACAAGGTTTTTCATGTTTTCACTCAAGAACTCTACACTCCCTTCCAAATTCAATAACCTCTTTCCAATAAACAGTCAAATCTATAATTATAATACTAGGAATGTCCACTCATTTCGCTTGCCACCATGCAGAACGAACTACAGGCACTTCTCAATTTATTTCCAAGGTCCAAAGTTTTATAATTCGCTGAATTCTACTATAACTGGTCCATCCTCCTCCACTTCTTTTAAAAGAAAGCTTAAAGAATTCTTTCTTAGTACATATTAGTTTCGGTATGGCTCTAATTAGATTAGATTAATTAAATCACACGTGTGGGTGGGTGGGTGGGTGGGTGGCTGTGTGTGTGTAAGTCCACGGTCAAAATTAGCCATCATAAGCCCATATTGTAATTATTATTTTAAGACTAGTTTATGCTAATTTGAGAAGAACTGACCCAGTATACGCCTGGTGGTCTCTTTCAGGTCTCCTCGTCATTTACTATTCTTTAATACCATATTATTACATCTTGCGTTGAAAAATGTTGTATATATGGCAAATAAAGAACGAATGATTGAATGAATGAATGAATGAATACAAAACATTGAGGACCCTAGGCTTGTTGGTACTCTAGCAATCCACCCTGAGATAGAAAATTGGAAACGGGAGGGATTGTCAGGTCTCAATACACAACCACTGGCTGTAAACGTCAGGAAACAGTTTGATTTTGATAAAGCTGAATGAGGCACTTTTGAATGAACAAATGATCACCATTGTTGGCACACTCTTAAGTCCTCATGGTCCCTGCCACAATCCAGTAAACACAGATGCACTGTTAGTTGCTTACAGAAATACTGTAAAAGAGATTAATATCACATCAAAAGAAACTACCATTATTGCTCAAGGTTTCCAGACAGCGTTTGATATCTCTTCAGCAGCCAATAAGATGTTGGAAGTGGGACAGATGGACCAAGAGATGGAAAGGCCCATACTGCTGACCTCCACGAGCCCAAGGACGTAACATTTGACTACAACTCTAAACACTCCTAACTTGAAGACCTTCCTTTTTAAGCGAGTTTACAAACTATCTTAAGTTTTTTTATTTTGTATTTTTGTGTGTATATTTACATTTTTGTACGGCCAAAATATCGGCTTATACCGGGATGACGGTTTAGCTGAATTCAATGGAACACCACAGGAAATAGAGAAGATTAAAAAGGGCATTTGCAACGTCTTTTGTGACAACGACTTGAAGATCACAGTCGAGGCTAACACCACCAAGGTCAATTCCTTAGATGTCACGCTTGACCTCACAAGTGGGAAGTACTACCCTTACACAAAGGAAGGCAATATCCCACTGTATGTGCACACAAAATCCAACCACCCACCAACCATCCTGAAAAACATCCCGAGTCAATCAATAAGAGGCTCTCCGAGATATCTTCTGACAAAGAATGCGTTGATTACGCTAAAATCATCTATCAGGAAGCTCTCAACAAAAAGCGGATATCGCTATAACCTGTCATTCAATGCCACATTAAACCAGTCGCCACGTCCACTGAGAAACACAAAACAGAACATTACGTGGTTTAACCCGCCCTATAGCAAGAACATGGAAACAAACGTCGGAAAATGCTTCCCTTCACTAATTGACATGCACTTCCCTAAATCTAACCCACTTCACAAAATTTTTAACCGTAACACCCTCAAATTAAGCTACAGCTGCATGGGCAACATTAAAACAATCATATCCAACCATAACAAAGCCGTAATTAGCAAATCCACACGCACTTATAATCAAACTAAGAAAAGCTACAATAGTAGGAAACCTAACAAGTGTCCCATGAATGGAAACTGTAATGTGGAAAGCATCATCTATCAGGCCGAGGTCACCAAAGAAACCGCAAAGGAAAAATACATTGGACTCTTTGACACTGCGTTCAAATTGCGTTAGAAACCATGTAAGCTAATTCCGAAACAAGCGTTACAAACATGCTACCGAACTTAGTAAATACATATGGAGTCTCAAAGATAAGAACGCTAAGTATAACATCAAATGGCGCAAGATAAAACTAGCTAGTTCTTACTCCAATGTAACTAAGAGATGCAATTTGTGTTTGTGGGAAAAGTATTTTATCATTTGTAAACCGGAAATGGCAAGTCTAAACAAAAGAAATGAGCTGTCATCGTGTTGTAGACATGTTAGGAAATTCCTGTTAAAAAATGTAACGATGTAATGACATGCCTAGACGTCACGTACTTATCCATTGTTCTGTATTTCAAATTTCTGTGATTGTAACCATTATTTCTGGCAGTTGCCTGATGATTGCTTTGCAAGAAGCATGAAACTCAGAGTTGCAGTAAATGTTCAAATAACGTAGCTCTTGGAGTATAATTATTTTTGTATGTATATATGTTGCAGTTAATTTTTAATTTCAGTTAATTTTTGTTTTTCCTTTGTTTTAAATTCATTAGCATACATTACCATACCCCAAAACAATGGAAAAACAAAAATAAACTGAAATAAAAAATTAACTACAACATATATATATGTAATGATTTTAGGATTTTTATTTTTTATCCAGACCTTTTGAAGCATTGTAAAGCGCTTAGCACTGAAAAGTATAGGCGCTAAATATATATATTTTATTATTATTATTTATTATAACTCTGCCATCATTTGCTGCATTAGAGGAAGGAACCAGGGATGCATCAAATTGTATTCAGGGCTTGCATTTGCAACAGAATTTATGGCAGCAATTCGAAATATATATGATGCCACTAGATTGTTACCACAGAAGGAAAAAAACAAGAGCAGAGAAACAGATCCAACTTTTAAATCAACATTTATACCAGGAAACCATAAGCTGATTAGCAGTCTTTCATTTCTGCAAGGCATAATGGCTAGGAGAAAAGCTTACCTACACAAGAATGGATTGGATGGTACAGATGGATCTATCTACTCCAAGAAATTGAAAGGTTTTGCACAGAGGTGGCCTCATTAAAGAGCTACCTATATCCAATGAATGACCTTGAAATTGATAGTAGTGCCAACTTATATGCTTTTGTGAGTGAATCAAGGAAAGAACCCAACTTTGTCAAACACAAACAAAGTGGTCAGTATTGCCATACCACTACGAAAAAAGTACAGCAAAACAAAAAGAGGCGACAAAGAAGTAATCAAAAAAACTTAGAGGCGTTCTCAGTCATACCACACTAACCAATTCCAGGCATAGCAGGCAAGAAACAAGTCTAATTTGTCATCAGTCACCGTAATCAAAGAATTCAAGAGAAATAAAAATGATGTAGCTACGACCAGAGCAAGTAAATCTGACCCAGACTGAGAGAGAGAACGTCAAAGAAGATTCAAAGAAGGCCAGAGCCCTGAAAACACTAAAGCAATGCCAAGTCAGAATGCAACAGATGTCTACCGGTTGAAGTGTGGATTTGCGCCCTATGCACTTAATCAGCTCGACTGCACACTCTTTCAGCCAAGCAATGAAAACCGAATATACTACCCAAGTTTCCAACAGTTGATGAGCGAGATCAGTACCAGTGATAATGTTCCCACCACAAATGGAGCTGATGAGGATTATCATCTCATTCCAGGAGACATGGCTGTGAATCCTGGAACAGAAGATGGCATTCTAAGTGGAGACGCCTGGTGGTTCCCACAAGTTAGCAGGGGTCTTGCAACAACTAAAACATCAAATGGCTGTCATGTTCCAGGATTCTAGCTTGAAATGGTACCTCTTCTCAACAGCCAGTCCATGGTTGTGCCCTGAGACTCCAAAGAGGGAACACTACAATTTATTATGGGAGTGTCAGAAAATCCTGTGGTAAACCAACCGTCACACCAGTTGAACAGCTCAACACAGGGTGGAAACATGAGTCAGTTGTCTACAAGAGGTCAGACGATTATGTAGAGCATCTTCATAAGGTCTCAGAGGATTTTTGAATGCCTTTTTGTGTCCCAGATGAAACCGCAAGTCGTGAGGAGAGTGAAGATGAAGATATAGATGCAGTCAACTCTCTCTGAACATATGCCTTTACAAAAAGATGCCTGTACAATTTTGACCGACCTAACTGTGGGCATTAAGTTTAGTTAATTAAGGTGGGCAATTAGTTTAGTTAATTAAGTTTGATGTGAACTTAACCTGAGACAGACTTCAGCTAGCCCTGGTGTTAGTATTGTCGACGTTTTCTCCCTTAGGGTTGGTCTGTGCAAGTCTTTTATAAAGAATTAAATGTTTTACATTATTTCAACACATACACGGCTGCAAGTGATACATTTGGAAACTTCTCGATTTAACATTAAAATTTTTGCACGAGTTCTCCCCCTTTTCTTCAGGCCCTGGTTGTTCAAACGTTGGATAGCACTATCCACCCGATAAATCACTATCCAGCAGATAGCGTAATTAGTTTCCCTAATACTTATCCGTTGGATAGTGATTTATCCAGTGGATAGTGCTATCCAACGTTTGAACAACCAAGGCCAGACGTTTTTCCGTCCATCTTGAAATTTACCCAGAATACATATCGAGGACAATGGGTTGAGAAAGAGGGTCCTGGGAAAGACACGAGTTACCAGTATCTTCTGGGTTATTAAAAAAATGGGGAACAAAGTTGGCTATCAACACAAAAATTGTACCTGTAGCAATCCTTTATTCAGTTAAGGGCTAAATGTAGCAAGTCTCTATGAATCATGGGTTATGGTTGCCAGCCTGACTACAATGGAAGCCATACAGGTTGTCACGTTGAACCAATGTACAGATCTTCTAGTACCAGGTAACGTTATAAGAAATATAGTCCAAAGTCGAAAACTGCCACAAAAATAAGTCAAACACTCGAACTTCGAACGTAAACCTTACCTTTATTCAATAAAGGATTGCACCTTCCAAATAGATCCAGATCCAAATAAATCAACAACCTGAACTGCTGTGTCAGATCCAAGTTACAATGAAGTCAGAGTGGTTCCAAACGAATTTAAACCCAATCCCGTAAATCCTACGCACAAGTTAGGTTTTCTAAAACCAAAACATAAATCCACTATGAATTCAGTGTTCAAAAGTTCGAAGTCAACATCCGAAATACAAGAGGAAAACTTACCGACATTTTGAGTTGAACTTAATAAACTGGCCCAGCCGAAATTTGCAAATATTTTGACAAGAAAGTACGCATACATTTGTCGATCTCTATTACATCTCCCCATAAATGCTCTGTTCCTTGATCTTTTGAAAGTATAAAGGGGGAGGGTCTGATGGATTTGAAAAGTTATTCGTATCATGAAACGATAGGAAACACACACTGATTGCTATCTTTCACTAATATTATAAGACACCATTGTATTAGACTGTGAGTGTTACAATATAGAGATTGTATTAGAAAGACAACGCAAGACGGAAACTAGTCCTGGATAATGACGTAGCTCATCCGGGTTATCGAGAAGACAGAGCAAGCGGAACGAACACGACAAGAGAAAGAGAAAAGAAAAGATGTGAAGCATGTGAGGTGTAAACACGTTTTGTACTTTATTTGTGGACTCTTATGAAATGAGGGTAACACGAGCAGTCTGTCTTTTGCTGGAAAATCTGTAAGCGAGAGTATATGAGCAGCTAAGTCGCGCAATAAACATAATAAACCAACAGGAAAGTAGTCCTTTTACAATTGTAGGAAAATCATTTGAAAAGAACGATGAAGGGCATTTTTTTCGCCAGTTTCTTTCTTCATTCCTTATTTTCTAAAAAAAAAAACCGTTTTTTTTCCCTTTCGATTGCATTGGTCACTGTGCTTAGGCTGTCAACACCTTTTATTTTAATCCACTCTATCGGAATGGCGCTCAAAAAAGAGGGAGCTTAACATTGCACTTTCAATACGTTTAGTATAGTATGATTTGATTAGTTTCACAGTAAAGACACCTTTTGCATCTACATAGTGCACAATAAAAACAACAACAAGAAAAAAAAAACAAATGGAATAAGATGGCTATTAAATCGAAATGAACTCCCCAAATACGATCATCTGTTGCTCTTGATATTTGACTGTGAATTATCTTTAAAAAGGTTAAATTACAACTCACTGAAATTTTGGAGGCTTCATCTTCTAACTTAAACTGGTTGCCATTATTTCTTAGGTCCTTCTATCGAATCCAATTTTGATTGAATTTCCTGTGCGGCCGTTTTTCTTTCACCCCAAATACTCTTCACGATTATATTACACACGGTGCACAAAGTTGCACATTCCAAGCATGCATGAATGGTTACACATTCCAAACATATTTTGTGTTAACAATTGGTCCCCCTTCAAGTGTTAAAATACTAATGCGCAGCTAACAGGATTATTATGGCTGTGATGTTGTAAGTCAAGATTATATTAAGTACGTAAATCAATTTTCTACACTCTCACAGTGTCTAACGTACTGCGCTTCACACCAGACACAAAAAGCATTCAGTTGAGCGCAATAAGCGTGTCAATTAATAGTCAATATCGCGTGCAATGGCCTTGCATACAAATAGCCTTCAAGTATTGATTACATTCGGGTAGTTGTGTTATACAAGCACTATTTCATGAGAAACGGGTCACTGCTTCAAATGCTGGTGATGGCAAACACTCGCCCCTCCAGGATCCTTAGCCATTTCCATGATTGGAAAACAACACTGTTTGCCAAGAGGCAGGTACACCCTTACACTCCCTTTTTAACCCCTAAATTCGTCAACTTATTGGCTGACCGTTAGAAGATTGGCTGACATATAAAAAGGTTTATATTTAACTTATAAAAGGGCTTCCTTACAAATCGATTTTGAGATAAATATTAGCGATAAAAAATCACGACGTTTCGACCTCTCCGAGGTCATTTTCAAGTGTATAAAAGTTCTCTAAATTAGCAAATTTGACTGCCTTATTTTTGAAATGTTTTTTATCCAAGAACTGAAACCGACGCTTAACAAACAGTGCGATTCAATTCGCGCCAAATTATTTGTTTAGAGCAGTTCTTGTTAACATTGTTTTATTTCCATTGTTTTTTGACTTTATAAATATTTTTAGCACTTTTTACATATTTTATCACATTTTAGCGTTCACCACATTTTTATCTATTATAACTTGTTTTTAACTTATTTATGCTATTTTAGAGAACTTTTATACACTTGAAAATGACCTCGGAGAGGTTGAAACGTCGTGATTTTTTATCGCGGTAGCAAAAAAACCAGTTTCTATTTTAAACGAAACTAAAAAAAAACAAAAAGAAAATCTCGATGACGTCACTTCGACGAGCAGCGTACAAAACTGATATTACAATTTAGGGAATGAATCAAACCACATTCCTGCCAAGTTCCTTTAAAGGAAAATGAATTACAGATGTATTTGAAAATTAACCATTTTCCCCCCAAAATTCATAACTCTAAAATCCTCTGCTCCCATCTTAAAAGCAGCCTTGATACATGCGTAATATTTAATGATTGAAAAGTCTATTAGAGCATATTGCAGTAAAATTAATAGTGAATTGGTTAACTCAAATATTTTTTAAATTTATAAAAATACTACAAATTTACCTAAATTTTTACAAATAATAAAGATACTTGTAAAAGTTTACTTTAAATATCTAAATGTAAAAAATGAATCTACCCTCTTGGCCGTTAAAGTGACTGAGCGATTAAATAGAAAGAACTTCTAGGAGTTTTCCGAGGTTAGGGTTGGGGTTCGCCTACCTTTTGGTTGATTCGCCTAGCATCTTTGTTTTCGCCTTCTCTGTTTGTTGATTTGCCTACCCTCTTTGTAAGGAAAGAGAGAGAAAGAGAGAGAAAGAGAGAAGGTGATAGGTGATAGTTTAAACCTGAATAAGAATGTAGGGGACGAAATGGAGGAAAACCCTATAAATGTGGAAGACGAATATTTGTTTACTTTATAAATGTTAAACGATTGAGTCCGATTTAAAGTCATTTCACCCAGAAGTTGAAGAAAAAGCAGTTCTTGCCAATTGGCAAGAGAACTGGCTTATTCCTCGAAAGCGTCCAAAAAGAAAATCACTAAGGGTATTCCCTGCGAAAACCAAGAGTCACTACTACTGCAAAGATTCAAGCTCTGAAGAGAAGAGGAAACCTAAGTAATGCAACCCGAATTTACGAATCTATTAACATTGGAGAGACAGTCTCCCTTAGCAAACGGAGATTGCTCTGTAAATTTAACATTACTAGACCTTACTAGCATGATAATTATTTGCTTGTTCAATGAACTGCGATATTTCTTCTCAGTTCCGGTATTCCAGAAAGTCGTTTGTGTCAGGGGCATAAATACGCTCCTGTTTGTAGTATACCTGGGACTGCATCTGATGGAGTTGCATTTCCTTAGGGAAGGTGTGTTTGAAGTATGTGTCTTTGAAGTAGGTGTGTCAAACACACCTTCCATAAAGAAATGCAACTCCATCAGATGCAAAACCTGCCCCTTCATTACCGACAAAATATCATTTACATTAAAAAACACTGGCTAAACTCACCTCATCAAGCAGACGATCCCGTGCATGTGCATCTAAAAATCTCATTTACATGATCCAATGTTGTAAATTTAAAAGCACCCCACAAACACCAAAGATTTGGCGTGAGAATAGTCCACGCGCTAACATTTTCAATCAAGAAGTCATGTTCTCTTTGTTTGACTATAACAGAAAAAGTTTTTATCCTATGAAGCTAATTTTTCTTTCCTTTTAAAGTGGAGGCTTTTGTCTTTCTAATGATACTAACAT